GGGTTTTCCAATCATCTTTTTAATGTTCTCTTGCAACAGTCCAAACTCAGCATTTTCTTCAGTCATTCACTTCATGGGTCAAGCTCCCTGCTTTTCAAGGTCACATCAATGTCTGCTTCGATTGACAAGGTCAGAGCTGAGCCCTGCCCAGTACTGGTCTGGGCGGATCACATGGAAACCCTGGAAACTTGTCATGTACATAAGGGTGTCTGGTCCGGTTGGCGACATTTCTTGGAGGTAGAAATATGCTGATTTTCAGGTAGTTGTACTGCCCAGGGGCGGCAAATTGGGCAGACGTCTAAGACAGGGTTTAGTATAATGCACTTTATACTCAAAAACATCTATAGAGGATGATTAGCATACGTATTCCTTATTTAAATTGGATAGTGACCATTTTTGAGGGGTCACCACAGGCCTCTGCTCGGGCTAATTCAGAGTTGTTTATGATCAAAAGTTATACAACTCCAATTTAGTTACTTTTGGGTGCAATAACTTTTACATTGCATGTCAGTATGTGTTTAGCAAAAAAAAGGTATGTTACATGACATAGGCTTAATTCATTTACATCTCTTGTTCACACCAAACAAGATAAAACCTTTGGAGTAATGCTTCACAAAATGTGTGATTGTCCATAATATGTAATCATGTCAGTGCATTTAGCAAATCCAATGGATTCATAGCCAGAAACATGTGGGGTTAGACACCAAGATTACTTGGTAGGTTTAATAATGAAGGAGTAGGATATTTTAGGGGGTTCCTGCCCATCTTGGACGCCATCTTGAAAATTACACCTTTCTAGTGATCAAACTTTGGTAACTTTTAGTATGTTATTAGGACACCTAATACGCAAAAAACAGCTGAGAAACCTTTTGTTAGAATTTCTTTAGGGTTAGGTGTTTTTTTTTTCATATATGCAGCCGTCTAATATCTGTACAAATGTACAGGGCTCAGTGTTCAAAATGACTGTTGTTTGTTTGTTTGTTAATGCCATATTTGTGTTACAATTACCTATTGGCTAGGGTTTGTGATTATACAATATGTATACAATTATACATTATTATTACCGTATTATTATGAATGCTTTTATAACTGTTTGCTTTGGGAATATAAGCACTGTCTGTTCATGCCAATAAAACTCATTAAATTAAAATCTGAAATTGAGGGGACAGGCAAAGATCGAATTGTTTCAGTGTTGTAGGTTGGTTTTACATTATGTATCCTCAAATAGCAATTAGAAAAAAGTGAAAGACGCTTAATAATAGAATGCATTTTATATACATTCATACATATCTCATACATGTAATGTGGAAGGAAGGAAAAAACACCAATTCGACGGGCTCTATTTTGTAACTAACACTTCTCCGCCTTTATTTTGAAACCGGAAGTGTTGCTTTTATTTTATCAGTTTTGCGAGTCCTTGTCAAAAAATGAAGTAAAAAAAGATAAGGCTACTCCTTGAATGTCTTAACCGTCGGAAGGTGTCGTGAACGCCTCTGAAGGTCGCTAAACGCGTATTTACGGTAATTCGGACATGACATCAAATAGGGAGTGAGTGTGGGTGTTTTCCGCATTCCCCAACTGCCTGTCAGTCCCAGGGCCGAGCTCACACTCCGGAGGACGGCTGCCGGGAGCAGCAGCACGCAGGGACACATCCATGGGATAGAAGACGACGGTTCGTGGGAACATCCGACCAGGAAGCCGAGCAGCCGCACTGGTGCGTACCTTCTGCTTCACGGGCTCTGCTGCTGAGGCTACTTCTACATTGATGTCGATGGTCAGTGTGCCAGCAGTGCTCTCAATCCGTGTTTGTGTCTGAAATACTGGAAGGAACTGTGTGGGATTATAAAGTTTTGTATTATTGCACTCGTTAAGAACTGTGGGATGTTTGCTTTTTCCTACATAGGCTTCATGTCCCAACAGGTAGAGATAAAGAAAACGCTGCAGGCTACTTGTAGAGTCAGTATGGACCACGTAGTGGGTATATAAAGCACATTTAAACATTGAGATTATTATTAGGCCTATTAATTATATTAATTATTATTATCAGTTTTTTTCTCATTTACAGGCCTGCTATATATTATTTACCATTTATTTATTAACATTAACAAGACAAATAAAATCTTAAAAAAAAAATCCAGTTCCAAATTTGTTTATTATATCTTCACTGACCAGTATCAAGTATAACATATACCAAGGGAAACAGAACATATACAATTCAATAGAAACAATATAAAAGTGCCATAGAAAAACAACAACAGCGCAGTACAAAAGGACATCGATCAAAAAAACAAACAAATTATAACTACACTGACCAAATCTGAAGGTGAATCAATTCCCTAGGACAAGTTTGATATAGTACAATGTGTGCTAATCGCCAACAATGACCACTAAATTCAAAATGACTGACTTCCTTTTGGGTTTGGGGAATGGGTCCAAGAGGCTTGTGTTTGTATGTCTGGATGTGCTCTTTATAAGCCATTTTTCCACGCTCGCATGTGCGAGAACCATAGAGTACGTCATTTTTTACCACGGCTGACATGTGTGCCGCATCGCATTTGCTTCAGAGCATGTTGTTGCCTCATTCCAAAAAAAGGCCCCCATATCCTGTTACATTTTGCAAGGCCTAAACTCAAGCATTATATTTTTAACAAGAAAAAAAATCTGTTTATGGTGACCCGAAGGTTCCACTCTCATTCCTTCTCCCTCTTGATCTTTTTGCATCTGCAAAACAAGAAAACATCAGTTTTATGGGAAGCTCAAAGGAACCAGATTAGTCAGTCAGAACTGCCATTTCAACTGCTGTGGACATTTGTGGATGCAACAGCAATAATGTCAGTTGGGTATTTAACAATGCTGCAATTGTGGAGTCAGTACAAGTCTAATAATATTTTTAATACCACTTTTCCAGCAGGGCAGTTTGAGGTCTGGTTCGGAGCTGGCGCTGTATCTTGAACCAGTTCCCTCTTGGATGCGTCCATTGTAGATAAAACACAATAAAGTTCCCTTAAGGATGCTAATCCTAACCCTGACTAATCTGTTTCCCCATAAATGCATCATAACTCTGGATAGTTGATTGTTGAGTCTCATTCACAGACACTTTGGGACCCTAGGAATGAGCCTCAACAATCAACTCTGTTAGAGTCTTCTTGTGCGCATGTGCGAAAGCTGCTTGCTGCCTGTTACGTTGCTTTAAGTAATTTCCCCCTGGGATTATTCAAGTATTTCTGATTCTGATTCTCTTTCTCAGCTCTGATTGGTTGTTTTCGTTCAGGCCCAGTGGATTCTTACAAATGCCATGAGGAGTGTGAATAAAGAACAGTTGGATTTTGTTTAGAATAAGCTATTGTCAGTTAGAGCAGTGGTTCCTGCTTTTTCCTTAATGGATCCCTTTTCTATCATATACTACTGCTAGGGGAGGTTGGGAATGAGAAGAACATAAGAGATAAATCAAGATAGAGAGGGGGAAACATAAAAAGCAAAGAGATCAAAACAAAACACAGACAAGAAAAAAATATCCATAAACGAAATGAAAACACCATACAAATCTGGGTTGTCTCGGACATCGTCATTGCACTACATCCTTGGAAAACAGGGCTTGATGGGTGCAAGGGTGGTTGGGCCTCCAAGGAAAAGTAAATAAATTGCCCCTCAGGGACGTTAAAGCTGTACTTTAATCTAGAAATGGTTGACCCTATATCTATACTATCATTGAGTAAACTGACTCAGCTTGCGTGCTTGAGCTAGATGGCTGTTCACAGGTCTAATTCACACAAAAGTTACACAATCTAAAAACGTGTGCCATGATCGGCTGCCAAAAACTGAACCAAATACTGCATCTGACCACAGAGACTGTAGTAATGGATCCAGCATGCTCTGCTATCACTAACCTTGTGTTATCACTATATCAGTTCACTCTGTGTCCAGTCGCACTACTGAGGTGCCTGTGTGACCTAATGTTACAACTGTAGGACTCATTCTCTGGGTGTTCGTTCTACACAAATATCATATCAACAAACTGTAGGAAATATTTTGGTCTGATGGTGGCAGTCAGATTTACAAGGTTACTCTGAGTAATGTGGGAATTTATGTTGTAAAAAAAGGATAGAGTGAAATGATGCAACAGCGGCAACTACTCTTGTGGGAACTCCCAGCTTAACGTGTCATGTGAGCAATGAAAGAAAAATAAAGTGAGAGTTCCTGTGGTGAGACTGGTTGGACTCGACGTGGTTAGTTTAGTCAAATCAGCAGCATTGGCACACAACAGGCTTACAGAGGATGTTGTTTATGTAGAGTCGAGATTAGAATTTAAGAATGAGCCCAAAAAAAAGAGGAAGGGAAGAAGGGATTACTGCTCTGTATCAGCACACTGTCACCAGACAGTGCAAATTAAAGCTCTTTAATGAATGTAAAAATATTTCCTAAAACTAAATTGTGTTTAATATAAATAAGTTCACAGCTCAGCCTTCCAAGCCTACAGGCTTTTTTTTCAAATGATTGCAATCTCCAACTTCACTGCTAAATGCAACTAAATCCTACAGACCTCTTAGTCATGGATTAATATGTGTGTTTACAGTGGCAGAACAGGATTGACTGAAACTCCCCAGCCTTAATCTTCCAGTCCCCTTAATAACTAATATGGTTAGTTTGTCAATTATAATTTGACAGAACCGAATTTTTACAGACCATCATTATGTGATTCACCATGAGGACACTGGCCCCATCTTTATAAGGTGAAACAGATGTCGTATCGCATGTCCAAAACTGACTTGAATGTGGGGTCGGTCATTTTAGAGTAAGATAGTTGATTGTTCAGTCTCATTCACTGGTGGATGACCTGGGAATGAAATGAACTTAATTTAACTCAAGTGCTTCAACAACAGTAAGCATTTCCCCATTTTGTTCCCTTACACTTTAGCAGTAGATTTTTGCTTCCCACAATTAAATAAACATGATCATCTATGATCTTGACGTTTGAAATGCGTGCTCATCTCATAGAAAACTGCGCTTCCTAAACTAACAGCCTGCCACCACGGGTGATCAAGCTGCAGCTTCACATTAAAAGCATTTAAATGGCAAAACACAAGTTGAATTTCATTTTTAAGTAAGTTAGTTTCAGGAAGTGCAAAGTGTTTGTCAGTTGGCTTGACAGTGGCCCCCATCGTTCAACAAAAATGCATGTACAAATTGAGATGCAGTGCTCTGTAATGATATAGTGAAATAAATATGATCTCAATATTAATCAAAATAATCATGGCTACCATTTTGGCATTAATCATGCCCGCTCATGCTCTCTTCTCCTGCCATTCTCTCTGTTTTGAGAGCATTTTGAATAATTCAAAGATCAATTTAAACCAAGACATTTTTTATCTTAAAAGGACCAGTATGTTAGGTTTAGTGGTATTTAGTGGTGAAGTTGCCGATTGCAACTAACTGAACACAGCTCACGTCTGTATTTGACGTTGTGTGAAATGTTACATGGCTGTAGATAAAAACAGCTCAGTGTGCTTAAGGTTGGGTTCAGGTCTAAGGAGTACATGACTGGCATGACTGGCAAACCTGCTGAAGGGGATTAAGTTTAGCTAACTCTGATGGATTTATAAGTGCATTTATTTCATTCAACAACTCTTTACTTTTTTGTAGTAGAGCCTTCCTGTTTTTCGTTCCTCAGTTATGAAAACACTTCGACATTAAGGATTTATTCCTAAAAATCTTCAATTCAATTCAATTTTATTGTATAGCGCCAATCCTAAACCAGAGTTATCTCAGGATACTTTCAATAGAGCAGTCTAGACCGAACTCCTTTTAACATTTACAGAGACCCAACAGTACCAATCTTGTGTTCATTATATCAGACTGAACAGATTTAAACAGCACTAGATAGTCTTAAGGCCATCAGTTAACCAGGCTTTGCAGTGAATTATCTTTCAATTTACTTTACTATAGGGCTGTCCCCTATAGTATTTAGTATATCCCAGATTTTCCTAGTTGACTAGTAGTCGTTAAATAGAGCCAATAGTTAAGTAGTTACTGCATGTTTATGATATTAATTGAAGTATTTAAATATATATTCTTTACAACAAACTTGCTCCTCTTCCTCCATTTCATTCCTCCCCTTCCCCTGCCTGAACCCGCCATGTCTTCATTCCCAGAGTCAGAGTGTAGATCAGCTGACCTCATTGACCTGTCATTCTTACAGGCTGTGAATCCGTTTCCATTGGGCACTCGCCGTGCTCCAGTCCTGACCCTCATTCTGAACCGGCTCCCAGGTAGCATTCCCCGCTGGGTCGATAGAGCGTGATATAAAAACATAAACGATTTTCTATCAACAGACTGCCCTCTGTCCACATTAATATAGGTGAAAATGCTTCCTTTAGCCAGTAGACATGTTACACAGCTCTACACCGGGTGGGACTAGTAGCCCTAAAATGTGTTATCCCTTCTCACATACTTTCATACTCTGTCATTAAGGGAAGTCAGATGTATAGAAGGAAGTTGGTTACATACAGCTGATGCCAAATCAAGGTGGGGAGTGGTGTGATAAAAGAATGTATTGATGTATCATCGGAGAGGGAGTGTAATTTAGGAAAACATTTAAGGACTATTTTGCATATTTCTAAAAGGAGATGGCTGGAATAGAAATTGTGCAATAGAGAGCTATTGATGGGACGGTGGGTAGGGCAGGTAAAGAGGTAAGATGAAAGAGCCTCTATCTGTAGTTAAGGAAGGGCTTCATTTATTGCATTTTTAATATTGCAGCCGATTTTTAAAAATCCTCAGGTTCACAGCCCTGCAGTAGAACCTGAAATTAGGAAGTGCTACACCTACATGTGACCTGCGCCTCTGTAGAAACTGATGATGTCATAGGGTCTTTCCTATTCCACAGAAAGGCTTGCATTAAACTGGTACATCGTGATTAAGAAGAAAAGGTACGAATACATAGATCTTGATCTGATAGTGGGTTGTCTGTTGTCGCAGCTTCTCCTTTTCCCCGTTATGAACTGGTTAACTGTACACAGAATAAATATATTTAGATTTTTTTTTTTTTCTACTGTTAACATACAGGGAGTGGAACAACATATGTAGTAATGTAATTTCTGACATTTCTCATGTTCATCAGGTCCAACTTTGGTGTATGTAGAGTTTGGAGGAACAACTTGAAGTTGACTGTTAAACAGCCAGGAATGGACTAACCAAGGAGCAGGTGGATCTAAGCGAAGCAAATCAACATGGCAGTCTTCAAGCCTGAAAATGTGGAGGACTTCTATGAGATTGGTGAAGTTTTGGGAAGGTAAGGATATGGCTTTTTTTCTTTTCTTTTAAAGCTCTGCACGTATCAAGCAGTGTTTACCACAATGCAGTCATTGGTCATTTACAGACTTTGTTTCTGTGTTTCTTCTGTACTCCAGCTTCTTGCAGTTGAAATAAAACAATGATTATGAAGGTAAAATGCTGATATTCACTGTCAATTTGAGGACATTCTCTTACCACAATGAGCCCCCTGCATGTTGTAGGGTTAAAAACACAGCTTACTAAACTGTGTGCATAGTAAATACATTTGGGTAGCCGTGGCTCAGAGGCAGAGCGGGTCGTCCCCTAATCGGAAGGTTGTTGGTTCGATCCCCGGCTCCTGGTGCCACAAGTCTGCGTTAAGTTCTGTCTTTCGATGGACTTTGCCATCGCTGTGTGGAAGTTGTGTGAAAGGTGAATGTGCCATGTAATGTAAAAGCGCTTTGAGTTGGGTCGGAAAGACTAGAAAGCTGCTATTACAAGTACAGGTCCCATTTACCATTTACCATCATGCGTTTAAAGCAAAATCTTAACATTCATTCACAAACGGGATAAATTCTGATCTAAGCTCTCCGCACACCTGTATGTTCTGATGTCGGTCTGATACAGGTCCATTTACCATTTGCCATTTGTATTCCAAAAATTATTACTAAAATTGTAAAAAAGCCATCACTTTTAAGCTTTATGAAGCCAGCTATTTTTTTTTCAAGTAACTAAGTAATTTAAAGCTGCAGAAATCAGAGCCAAGAAAGATGTATTTGACACTCTGGGAATGAGACTCAACAATCAACTATCTATCTTGGCTCTGATTGGTTGTTTTCATTCAGGCCTGGTGGATTCTTACAAATACCATTAGGAGCATTAGGAGGAGCCAGAGGAACCTGATTTTAAATTACTTACTGCAGCTTTAAAAGTGTGTTTAATATCATCCTGTATTATATACATTGTGTATCATCTTTTTGCAGTTTGCGTAGTTAAGAGTTATATATATTTAAACTCAAGGCTCAAGATGTTTTTCATGGTTGTGCCGTTACATCAAATGGTAATAGTGTTAAAATAAATATAAATACTGCTGTGATAGGCTTACTATCAGTGTATTTTATGCAGCATAGAGGATATTTTGCTATTTGTGTAATACCACTTAATAGTCTCTTCATATAGCCAATATAATAATTAAATGCTGCATTAAATTATTATCACTTTACAGAATTCTTTTATTCTGAAGAGAGGAGCTAGATTTACTCACAACTAAAACGTGTTTGCACATACAGATACATGCATAGGAATTATTTTCATCAGATGAATAAAGCCATACATACACATGGTTCTGTTTTATAAATGTCAGTGAGTTTAATGGGTCCCATATGCACAAGCCTGATTTCCATTCCCATAGGTAACCATAGAAGGACACAGACATGCAATTTATGTGTTTGCACCTCAATACTTTTTCTTCCTCTCCAGTCGTCCAATGTAAATAAAAAACCTGGTAACTAACAACACCCCAGATGTGTCTTCTGGAAATCTTACTGTTGTTTTCTCGTGACTAACAGGAGTTTCTGTAACATCCATCCTGTGTCAGCAATATGAACTGTAGTCTTGCCATTGTCCTCCTGCACAGTGTTTACATATGGGCCTAAATTTAAATGGATGTTAACACTTACACACTTTAAAGCTGAAAGTGAGCCCAGCAATATATAAAACCAAGTTTACAGAGGATGTAATGTGCAAAGTAGTGTGCAAAGATGGCCGAGATGTTGTCAGATAAGTCCAGTGCAGATGTAGAGATAGGAAAGGAGGACAGTCTGCATTATATGCAAGGAAATGTGATGGGTGACACATTGTGAGTCTGTGTAGTGGGATGCAAGTGGCAGATAGAATTAGGGGGTGTGAGAGGGGTTGTTTATGAGGGTTATGACCTGAGGAAACAAGCTGTGGAAGTGGTGTGTGGTTCCAGTTTTTAGGGCTCTCATCCTCAGCTTAGAGGACAGTGCTGAAAGGGCAAGTGAGTTGGGTCTGTCAATTAATTTCCCTGCAGGCTGCACAACGAGCTGAGGTAGAGTTCGGTCTAGACCTGCTCTATTTGAAAAGTGTCCTGAGATAGATTGAATTAGTCTCACCCCAGATGTGTATGCTGGAAATCTTACTGTTAGTACAGTAGTATCTGTAACATCCATCCATATTGCACAGTGTTAACATTGAGAGCCTACATTTTAATGGATGTTAACACTTACACACTTTAAAGCTCAAAGTGAGAACAGAACATGTCCAAATAGTTACAGACAGAACAACATATATGATTAATTAATCTTTTAATAATGTTTTCTTTCTTTTTTTTCTAACTTATTAAATTAGACTTTTGGAATGTTTTGCAGCAGGTGCTAGGTCTGCCAGAGCTTCTGCAGTTTTGCTACAGTTAAAGAAACCTCTTCCTAAGTCCCGCCCTTTTTTGCTCTGTGCTCCAATAACAGTTGAGCAAGGCTTTCTCCTCTCGTGTACGTCTGTGTTGAAAAGACAACCACATTTTGAAGATGGTTAAAAGATAAAAGGGACATATATAGTCACATCTTAAGTTAGCTAATGTTAACAAAATGCTAGCTAACCTACATCAATCTTTAGCTAGCTAGTTAGCTAGCTAGTTAACTAGCGTTTTGCAATACACCAAATAACTAGCTTATCTACATAAATTATTAGCTAGGAGGTTTCATCTGATAGCGGTGGGGCTTAGGAAGGGGCAGTTGTCAAAACAACTTATTCTTGCTGTATTTCAAGCTTGGTGTTTTACTGTGAATTATGTTCCTGCCCTGTCCAGTGGGCATTTTGGCCAGGTTCGTCAGGTTCGTGAGCGGGCCACTGGGACTTGTTGGGCGGGCAAGTTCCTGAAGATCCGGAAGGGCGCATGCAGCCGCCTGGGCCTGGAGAGGAGCAGCGTAGAGCAAGAGGTGGAGATCCTCCAGGCTGTTCAACATCCAAACATTGTGACTCTCAAAGACGTTTTTGAGAGTCGAGCTGAGGTGGTGCTGATTCTGGAGCTGTGAGTTGACAGTAAAGTGTGTGTGTGTATGTGATTGTAAGAAATGCATATTTATTGTATCACAGATAGAAACCTCATCTCCCTTGGAATGACTGGAAAGATGGGCTCTTCCACTACGTGGCTGAGTTGCTGTTGTTCC